AATACCGCACTTATGCACTGTTTTATGATGGCCTCTTGAGTTCTCTCTGACCCATAGATTGTTCCAAACTGCAAGCGAACTTGTTTTGTCTTCAGTCTACAAACAGGTGGTATTCTCTATCTCAAGTCGGCATCTCCGCCTGGTCTGAGCACTGTGGTTGCAAGCGTAAGCACAACGGGACAAAGCGGAAGTACGACAAGTACCTTGGAGGTAACGGTGCGGTGGATGGACGGCACTGCCCTCCTCAATGGTCTGGTTTTCCAAGTAGCGCACTCCACCGCGGATTGGTTCGTGACGGCTCCACTGGGCACAAACTCGGAGGTATGTGGGAGGTTACGCCTTTCCCTGACTCACTCTAATTTTCGTATTCAGGTCTGTTTAATGAGAGCACAATAGGTTCACAGAGAGAGAGAGAGAGCCACATGATGTCCTTTTCAGTAGACTGGATTCAGTATTGCTTATGTTTTGAATGCTTAGAAGAGTTCCTGTGAACATGAAGACATATTTGCCCTGATTAGAACCTCACTTCCGCTCTCTACTCAGTAATTGTACAGACGCGCGTTTCATTTGGGCATTAAGCAGGTAACAGGGTTCCCACTATGACCGTTAAATATCACCCTCGATTGTGTAAACTAAATTATGCTGATGGGTGACAGCATACCGTAACACCCTGTCGTATCTAATTTCTTATTGTGGCGGTATCTCGGTTGATTGTAGACTGATTTTTATTGTAGGAAACATCTTTAATTGTAAGTACAGAGAAGTCCTTAAGACATTTCTGTGACGCGATTATAAATATATATGGCTGGGTATGACTGGCTGATGACGGCTAATAAGCCAGACGTGGCCATTCCAGTCTCCCTTGTCTTTGCTATGCTACGCTAGTCACTGAGCGGCTAATGGTTGGCTCCAGAGGCACAAAACAATGGAAAAAGTGATTTCAATACCGACCGAGGAGCGCCCATCTACCATTCCCACAAAGCAAGTGACAGATAAAGAGCGTGCGCCTCAGCTGCGTCCGTCTGCGGCCAATCACTGAAGCGAGAAATATCGATCGGCGCCAAGGATGTTGCTGAGCCAACACCGACATTCATACGCTAAATCCGTCATCCCCTACAGGTTAATTTTGTATAGTATTAATTGATATGTTTGAGTAACACTTATTTATGAAGGTAAGGAAAGTTCCGCCAAATGTGGCGAATATTTCATCGCAATCATACAAAGTAGATTTGTCCTGATAAAAAGTTAGGCTCACTGCATCCTGCCCAGAAACGAAGGATGAATTTTATGCAATTACTGCTCCTCCCCTCCCCTCCCTGGCACGTTACACGTGGCATAACAGCATAATTTCACTGCAGCCAGGTAAAAATTTACGCACGAGGACGTGATCTGATTAAGAATTTGTTAGGTTGCATCCCAGCTCGGATGCGTATTGGTTTTTTTAAGATCTGGGAATCGGTGCTGAATTGTGACAATGCTGAAACAGCTAGTTCCGGCCGCTTTTTTGAACTAAAAGCATTTTGAGGTATTCCGACTCGCGGTCACTTCCCTATGCTGCGTTTGGGTTACCTAGCGCGTTATCATCTGCCCCCTTCACTGCATATATCCTTTTTCACATTCTGCTCTATGTTATTTAAGGTCCCTAGTCCCCGAGATCGCGTCGTTGCTGTAATGGCAAATGACCTTGGTGTTCCCGTGGAGAACATAACCATGTTTCCAATAGAAACTGTGGGTACTTCCTTTAACGTATTCGTTGGTGTACATGGATCACCTTACCAAGTCTCCGGCCGGTGAGTTGGGCTGTCAACCTATGTTCAAGTTTGCCGTTGTCTTCCGCCAGCCGTTTATGCGACAGTGTCTTAAATCAGTCCTAAAAAAGAATATTTCATCTGGCTGGAATGACGATGGCGATAATTGATTTGCGTTTCTTTTAAAAGGCTTTTCACGCCATGGCGTTTTTATATAACGGACTGATCACAAACCTCGTTACGTTAGTCTTCCATGTTTTTCCCCGTAATAATGCTCGGCTTTTAATTACTTGTCGTTATGCCAACGCTTACAGGGGCTGTAGACCAGAGCCCGTACGCCGCCACTAAACGAAAACAGATTGATCAGGTCAGGCCAGGCTTATTAAGGAAAAAATTGGCAAATGCCTGTGAACTTCCTTTTAGTACACAGCAGCCAACAAATTCGTTGGTACAGCAGAACACTTCAGAAGAGGTCATTTACATAACTGCAGACAAAATCGAGGAGACGCCGGTCGGTTCGCAAAGTAAGCATATTGCTTCCAAGTCATACAATTACATGTGTACGTATTACTCTTGTCTCTGGATTATTGGGGATGCCAACTAACACGGGCCAGTAAGTGGAGCTTAGCAAAAAGTGTAGACAGTGGGAAAAAAACTTATTAGGCATTGTTCCAACGTTCTAGATGAAACTTGATATGTCCCCAGGAGAAATAGGTAGAAGGAGGCAAAGCCGGTTTTGATCGCAAGAGTCTTTAGTCATGACAGCAGAAGAATAAATCAACGTGTCCACTACAGCCTATTATAAGGCGCTGGTCCTTCTAGACTGTTCCTGGTCTATCGCACGAGAGGGGGAGTTCTGGCGTGGTCTCCCACGCTGCGCGACGTTCTAGAGCATTGCAGTGCATGTGGGGGTGGGGGTGGACGTCACATGTGCTCACGTC